TTTTTTTTTTTTTTTTTTTCTACGGGAAGTGTCAGAACTAGTTTATACGATCTCAATTAATCGCTCAAGATCTTAGAATTATCGATCAAATAAAAATTCTTATAATCATCTTGATTAACAACCGAAGAAAAATTCAAACACATGACTGTTTGAGTAATATACCAAAGAGTCTCCTCTATAATTATGCATAAAATTTCGGGATAATTTCAGGAATTTTCTATCAAATCATCAAGTTTTATAAGAATTTATTTTATAATTAGAGAAATTTCTTGTGACCTGAAATCCTATATCACTCCCGTGTGAGAATAATTAAGGGTCCGTTTGGTTCATTATTGGGTAGTTTTTAGGATAATCTTTTGAAAAAAAATTAAATTAGGTGGGTATTACGATGTAGAATTTTAAAAATTAACATAAATACCCCTTATGTTTATTTATTTATTAAACACCCCTATAATAAAATATTCAAAGTTAACAAAAACACCCCTAATCCACTCATTAAATATGGACAGCCGACCACCACTGCCAAAGGGTGGTTGAAGTCGCCGTATCGACGTATGACCGATTGGATATTGCCGGTTGTGCATCGATATGGCATTTTCTGGCCAGATTACGGCTAGATTTGACCATTGACAGTTAGATCTGACCGCATTTGGTCATCAATGACAGCCAAAGATTTGGCCGTTGTTGACAACTGTCTACGACCAAAGATCTAACCTTTTTTGGCCAGATCCACGTCTGGCCGCATTTGGTCATCAACGACAGCCAAAGATTTGGCCGTCGTTGGCAATTGTCTATGACCAAATATCTGACTTTTTTTTTTCTAGATCCAATGTGGATCTAGCTGGAAAATGCTAGATCAGCACATTACCGGTAAGATTCAGCCGGTATTGCGCCATCACACTAGTTTCCGGACAGCTTCCAGTAGTAATGGCCGAAATTTGGTAAATTTGGGTTGCTGGGGGGTTTTTTCAATTTTTAAATTTTTTTTTGGGTTGTTTAGTTAAATTAACAATTTAAGAGATTTAAAGAAAATTAAATAATTTAGAATTATATTTTGAAAATAGGTAAACCAAACACAAATTTTATGTTTTGAACTTGAAGTCTAGGAACGAGACGCGTTTTGAACTTGAAGTCTAGGAAAGAGACCCCCCCGTAGTGGCTAGTGCCAATATACACAATTTTTACTGAGCTATTTATAACAAAAATTGACATTTTCAGATGGAAAACAATAATTTCTTTTATTTAATATTATGAATTAATGGGGCAAAGTCTAATAATGGAATTATTGCGAAGTATAATTACGGAAGTGCCCCTGCATGAATTATGGAGAAAAACTCGGTTTTCGAGACCAGAGACAAGGAGACAAATGCAGCAGTGGGGTTGCTCGAGTAAGCTTAAATAAGTGAGGTTCTTCGTCACTCCCTTAACGTGATTTCTGCTAACCTTTTTCTCTCTCATTATCTTTTACTTTCTCCCTCTTTGGCTCTATAAATCTAATCCTTTTCTACCTCCATTTTCTCTACTACCACTTCAACTCTCGCTTGTTCACTCTGTCAAAATGAAACCGTTTATCTCCCTTCTGCTTGCTTTCATTTTGCTCTTCACTGCTCCTGCTTTTGCTGCTAAGTACTTTGAAGGTAAGTTTAGTTAGCATTTTGTTTAACATTGTAACATACCCTTTTGGTTTATGGTAGTTTAGATCTGTTCTTTTGGTTCTGTTGCTTCATGTTTTTTTGTATAAATTTTGGTTCTTTTTACTGTTTTCACTTTTAATCTTCATTTTGTTGGCTTCTTTCTTCATCAGGGTACTTGGAAAATGGAAACTTTGAGGAGCCACCAAAAAAGACTGACCTTGACAAGACTGTGCTGAAGGGAAAATATGCACTGCCCAAGTGGGAAATCAGTGGCTTTGTTGAGTACATCTCTGGTGGGCCGCAACCAGGTGGCATGTACTTTCCTGTGGCTCATGGAGTCCATGCTGTGAGGCTTGGGAATGAGGCCGCAATTTCTCAAACCATACCGGTGAAGAAAGGGTCTCTTTATGCATTGACATTTGGTGCATCGAGGACTTGTGCACAAGATGAGGTTTTGAGAGTCTCAGTGCCTCCTCAATCTGGGGACCTGCCTTTGCAGACATTGTATGATAGTAATGGTGGAGATGTTTATGCTTG